AAAGCCTAAAAGACCTTTTCTGTACACGGTGTGCCTGAACGAAGTTTAAGTCACATAAAAAGCCGCCAAAAACTGATTGCAGTTTCTTGTTCGGGACCCTTTGGTGACTTAAAAATGATATTTACCAAAATCCTAGCTGCTCCTCTTTTCGAAATTTTTTGAAAATTTATGATTTTTTTTTAAATTTTGTTTATCTAAAAGTCTACCTTTGATAGAGCTCTAGAGTACACATTTGTACACCGATTTTTATAATATTGGAGTATATTGTTAAGGAGATTTGGAGAATACTTTTTTATACTGTAAACATATATACAGGGTTATACTATACTATTGTTAACCAAGGATCATCATTCCAAAGGATTGTGCATAATATAGAAATTGTAACGCGTGTATTTCTAAGAGTTTTGCACTGATGCGATATATACAATTTTAAAGTGTTATAAATCCCATTTCTTTCTTTAAAACACTGATTTTCCTGTAATATAAACTCAATTGACAGGTTTAGACCAACAAATTATAAATGTTAATTTTATCGAGCGCGAAAAGATTTTTCATAAATGGGTTTACGGTACTCCAATATTATAAAAATCGGTGTACAAATGTGTACTCTGTCAAAGGTAAGATAAACAAAAATTAAAAAAAAAAAACAGAATTTTTAAAAAGTTTAGAAAATAGGAGCAGCTAGGATTTTGGTAAATATCATTTTTAAGTTACCAAAGGGTCCCGAACAAAAAACTGCAATCAATAAAAATCGGTGTACAAATGTGTACTCTGGCAAAGGTAGACTGCGATAAACAAATAATTAGGGTCATTCCACGTTACTCGGGGATTTTTGTCCCACCCGTCACAATTAAAAATTGTGAGTAAAAACTACAAGTTATAAAATTTATTTAAAAATATTGTTTTATTATGCTTTTAATAAGTTATAAGCACAATAAAAATAATATTATAAAATATTAATTTTATAACTTGTGGTTTTTATTCACAATTTTTAATTGTGACGGGCGGGACAAAAATTACCGAGTAACGTGGAATGCCCCATTAATAAAAAAAATTTTTTACAAATTAAAAAAAAATCAGTTAGAATTTTGGTAAATATCGTTTTTAAATCTCCAAACTTACATAACATAACTGTATTACATTGTAAAACTTTTGTAGGCCCTGTTATCAGTATGGCTATACTGTTTTGGGGCCAGAAATAAATAAATAAAAAAAGAGTGCCGATCAAAAAACTTTAACCAGCTTTTCATTCAAAATTGAAAACTACTAAAAAGCCTAAATTATACAACATTTTAAATATTCTCTAAGCGATATTTTATTTAATTTTATTAAAAATCTATTTTTTATAAAAGGTTAATAAGAATTCCATTTTGTAACCTGATAAACGTAAAAATATCTAAAAAAAAATGGGGATAAATCTTTTTTGCGTGTTATGCCAAAATCATGAATTTACGCTTTTGCTTTACTAAAAATAAGCGATTTTTGGCTCACCCTGTATATATCAAATGATGTGAACGGTATTAAAAAGTATTCTTTAAGTCTTCTCAATAATATACTCTAATTTTATAAAAATCGGTGTACAAATGTGTACTCTGTCAAATTTAGTCTACCTTAAGGTAGACTTTGAAATAAACATAAATTTAAAAAAAATCATGAATTTTCAAAAAATTTCGAAAAGAGGAGCAGCTAGGATTTTGGTAAATATCATTTTTAAGTCACCAAAGGGTCCCGAACAAGAAACTGCAATCAGTTTTTGGCAGCATTTATATGTGACTTAAACTTCGTTCAGGCACACCGTGTGTAGAGCGTAAAATATCCTACAAAAATATTTCTTTCTTATTTCAGGAGGACCAAAAAAATTATTGTTTACCTACTTTTTTAAAAACTTATAAGATATAGAAGAATAAAGAAATAGAAAAATACATACATTTTAAACAATTTTTGTCCTAGGTTTTTAGAAAAGTTACATATGTACAAAAGTGACTATTACTCAAAAATATAGTTTAAAACAATTTTTTGCTACTATAGTATATACATAGGTGTTACATACAAAAGTGACTTACAATATATTGAAGGTTCATAGGTTCAACAAGAAAAAAACGCCATTTTTTCAACAATCATATTTTAATATATATAAAGTATGATTATTCCAAAAGTGGCGGTTTTTTCTTTTTGAACCTATTGAAAGAGTTAAAGTAAAGTTTAAAATAAAATGTTTAATATTGAAATCGATTGAGAATGCTGAACTGCTAATTAGTAATAAAATAATACTTTAGCTTCTTTACTTAATTTAATTATTATTTTAATTAATTACTTTTCCCGGTTCCAAATAAAATCGACCGACCCATCGTGTTTCTCAAAAATTTTTGTTTGGCCCATATTTTTCTTGCAAATTAGGATTTTTGCAAAAAGGGCGAATGCGCCTTGTGGAACCTTTTTGAAGATAAAAAATATTCTTGATTGATTTTCCTGATAATTTTTACTCCCATCAAAAATGGTTCATGAAAATATGACATTTTCGTCAATATTGTGATAGTCCGGTATATTTGGGTTTTATTATTGCAATTCATTGGGAAGTAAAACCTTTTTTTGATTGTAATGGTACCTAATATACAGGAAGCTGAAGGTGTGAATTTGCGAGTAACATCCGTATTTTTTATTTTATTGAAAAAACAGCCAACACCATTATCTTTATTAGAGCAAAAATTGTGATTTAGAAGATGTTAAATACACAATTACCTATAAGTTAAACAACTTTTGCACTAAAGAGATGATCTTGTATACAACTCTGTGGATAAAAGGCATAAGGGGATAAGTCAAAAAAATAATTTTTTCGGCAGAGACTTAAACGTGTTCGCATTAATTCAGGAAATATATTTATGGTTAGCGAGCATACCCTTTTGCTAGCATATGACATGTGCTGGAAAAAGGGTATACCCGCTAACCAAAAAATATATTTCCTGAATTAATGCGAACACGTTTAAGTCTCTGCCGAAAAAATTCTTTTTTTTACTTATCCCCTTATGCCTTTTATCCACAGAACTGTTATTGAAAAAAATGTCTGCAAGCAATTGTTTACGTAGCTTTTGTAGCGCCCTTAAATAATCGGTTGTTACTCGGCAAATATGTAAAATATTTAAAATATATCAAATTTATAGAACACATTTTTCTTACAATAAATAGTATTTTGCGTAACATGTCAGTTTACACCTTTATTCATCAACCCCTTCAATTATTAATTAACATTATCAAAATTGTACAAAAATCAAAGTAGCAAAAAGGTTAGCTCTCTATTATAATTAACCTCCAATAAGTCAGGTAAATCACCCTGTATACATATAGAAATGTATACATATAGAAATTCTATAATAGAATGTCTTCATATTAATACTAGTTTAAAAGCAAACTATTATAAACCTCATTTCAAAATTTAGCTAAAATGTCATCTTGTCAGTTAAACCTAACCTTAAATAATTTAACAAAATCTAAAAAAAAAATAGTATATAAAACATGGCGGCTAAAGCTTATTAATTGCCTTGCATAAATTAATTTACTGTCTCGGCTGTAATATAAACTTTTTCCGCCTGGTTTGTAAATTATATAGACTATAAAGAACTATTATATTATTAGGCTAGCCTAAAAACGTTAAAATAATAATAATTTTCTTAATACACTTATATCGAAAACAAGGTGTTGATATTTTAACTAATTACTAGCTAGTAATTAGTTAAAATATATTCAAGGTGTTGATATTTTAACTAATTACTAGCTGGTAATTAGTTAAAATATCAACACCTTGTTTTCGATATAAGTGTATTAAGAAAATTATTATTATTTTAACGTTTTTTATTTATTCTCCAAGTACATTGTAGGTAAATTTTTAACTTTTGAAATATCACAGCTAAACGCTCAGACAGGTAAACATAAATTTTGGTCGTAGATTCCAAATCTGTGATCGGTTTAGCTGTATCAGGTCTAAAAAGTTTTTCCTATTGGAAATCCGATCCGGGGACACACTCCATACTGGTATATTATAATTTGTAAAATAATATAGGTTTATACAGGGGGTCCCAAAAGTCAACGATATCCTTTGAAGGACTAATAGGTCAGCTCATGACTAATCAGAATATCAAAACATGACCTTATAAGGTACTATAGTACTATAGTAAAATATCATTAGTTTTTAAGATATTGGCATTTTTATAAATTTTGTGAAACTTGACACATAAAATCAGTTTTTCAAGTGCCACAACTACAGCATTCTATATTCTTAGATTATATTTTATTTTGCGTAACCCTGGATATGACTGCTAATAATTACAATTCAAAATTAAATTAATAGTAGATTTTGTAGCTGTGGCACTCGAAAAACTGATCTAAGGTGTCAAGTTTTACAAAATTCATAAAAATGACTAGGTATATCTCAAAAACTAACGATTTTTTACTTAGGTCATATTTTGATTTTCTGCTTAGTCATGAGTTGGTCTATCAGTCCTCCAAAGGATATTGTTGACTTTTGGGACACCCTGTATATATATTTGGGACACCCTGTATATATATTTCACCTCTTGTGCCAACATTCTTATGTTTTTTATTTCAATTAATATAATATCCTCAATTATACTCAATAAAAAAAATTCAAAAAAAAACATTTTGAATTTCCCAAATTATTTATAAAAACCGTCAGGGACACGTGTTCCTTTTGATCAATTAACTTTTTTTAAATTTGGAAATGATGTGTAGGTCTAGCCAAATTATTTTTTTTTTTTAATTTATACAGAGTGTTTAAATTTATACAGGGTGTTTCCAATATCTTTGAATTTTGACCTGATAGAGCTAAACCAAGCATGGATTTGTAATCTACGACCAAAAATTAGGTTTACGTGTCCGAACGTTTAGCTGTGATATTTTCACCTCCCTACAGTGTTATTAAAGGTTCTTTTGGGACTACCCTGTATATTTATGTTTAATTTGTCATAAAAATAATAATTTAATTTTAGATACACTATCGTCGGACCAATTAATTGAAAATAGAATTTTAACCAGCGGATATCAAGAAAACAAAGAACAGGTAACATTACTAATTCCAAAATTGTGAAATCCGATTTAATTCGATACATAATAATTTTAGAGGCATAGAATTGTAGAAATAAGAAATTCATGTTTTAAGGAGGATGCCACCAAAAGCACAGGATCGAACAGTAGTTACTCTGGCTTAAAAAAACCTCCGTTCACATACACTGAATTAATTGAGCACGCCTTAAACGAAAAAGGAGAACTCACTGTATCTGGAATTTATCAGTGGATTTCGTAAGTACCAAATTTATTTTGCGTACATGTCTTTGTAAAAACTTCTGCTTATTTGAAAAATAAACCAGTTTATATATATACTGGTTTGCTTTGAAGAAAAATATTAATTTTAATTTTGTTTTAGGTGTAAGTAGAAGTTTTTATGAAGAAATGTATGGATTTTGTTATTTAAAAGAAATTAAATTGCTTGAAGTTTAATTAAATTAAATTGAAATGTTGACTGTCTTGGTTTAAATTCTTGGTATATCTTATGAATATTTTATTCTTTTCACGATATTTCACAAACAATCGAATGGAAACCGTCATCCGTTAAGGATATCATCAATATTTGGTGCCAGGTACCGGGTTCACTTCCCTTGCTAGGCGCAAAACTTTTAGACTCTATACGGCAGTACAGGTTTTCATTTGCTTTATCTTGAAAATAAACATTTATATAAATAGTCTATATTTCTAATACTTTTTTTAAAAGGACACAAATAATTTTTTAATTTTGTTATTATTCACGAAATATAATTTTTAAATTATTCTTAAACCATTGGTATAGAAATAGCATAACAATATTTATTGGTAATTAATTTAAATTTAATTTTATATATGGGTATTTTTTATTTTTGGTACCTACTTCTTAAATTAAATAAAAATTAATTTTATGTTTTTAGAAATACTATTTGATTAATAAAGTTGGGGCGAAATAACCTGGGGGAAATTAAAACTAAATAATAGTATATTAAAGAAATAATGTCAAAAGACGTCATTTACAACGTCCATTACAAGACTCGCTCCTTCGTCGCTCGTTTTATAAATTCTCCGCGTGCGACAAAAGGTCTTATGACATGAGTTCTTTATGCTATTTTATATATTTTGCAAAAATTCTGTAAAAAAAAATTAATGTTATACCTTAAATTTAATTTGGTCGCATTTTACTTTAGATAGTTTTTATCACAGTCATTGGTTTGACAGTTAATGTCAAAATCGATTCGCCATGTCGTCCTTAATTTACTTATTTACAATAAGCGGCTGTTAATGTTAAAGAAGAAAAAAAGGAATTGTTAAAGGATTTTAGGTATACCAATATTTTAATTATTAGACATGGGACCCACACCAAATTTATAAAAGTTTATAATGACATTAAATAGACAAGTTCGGCGCAAACAGAATTTAAATTGAAGTTTGCGAAAAAAAGTTAGTTTTTTCTGTCGCCTCACCCGCCTCCAGGCCTCCCTATTTAAGATAATTCAAATTAAAGTGGTGCAATTTATAATCTACTATAATTTATCGACAAATTTAAAATTTTATTTAGAAAATCCAAATATTACAGGTTTTATACCATTTTAAATATTTTTTTATTTTAATAAAATAAATAATAAGAATTTAAAATCGAATAAAATCTGTAATATTTGGATTATTTAAATAAAATTTTAAATTTGTCGATAGATTATGGTAGATAATAAATTGCACTACTTTAATTTGAATTATCTCAAATGGGGGGCCTGGAGGCGGGTGAGGCGACGGGAAAAACTAACTTTTTTTTTGCAAACTTCAATTTAAATTCTGTTTGCGCCAAACTTGTTTATTTAATGTCATTATAAACTATTATAAATTTGGTGTGGGTCCCATGCCTAATAACTGAGATATTGGTATACATAAAATCCACCAGCCGCCACTGCCTCACGAACAACGTTGGTAGCTATAGGATATCATTTGTAGGTCGCGTTATATAGGTATATACAGTGTGTCCCCAGATAGGTAAAATAACTGTTAAAAAGGTAAATTTTTAATGTTAGGGGTTTAGCCAAACTTGCACGAAAAAAAACAGTAACAATTAATACGCAAACACCAATCAACTTAATATACAATGTCAATGTCAATTGACGTTAACGTCAGTGTACCAATTTCGAATAAAATACCAAGGGTTACTTTGAAAGCAGCAATATAAAACTACATATATATAACTATATGTAGTTAGTTTTGTGACATGAATAAGTAGTGTCAATAATCTGCACTTTAATTATTATTTTGAAAAATAATAAAATACGAATTTTAAGATTCATTTCAGATTTGTTATTTTTATTTTCAAGCTTTTTGGTTAGTGACCAATGGTCACAGATACGTCAAAAAGTTATTTAGTAGAATTGCTTAAAATCAAAATCTATAAAATTCTTTAATTTAGAAAATAAACAAAAAAATGTGAGGGATCAAAGTTAGCAGGGGTGTTGATTCTTGGGATACTGACATACAGCGTTTTCCCGGATCGGGTTAATATGTGTTCCAAAAAATCATCTTTCATTAAAACACCTGCTTATTTAAAGATATTCCCAAAATAATTTTAATTAAATATACTGGTATACCAGTATATATATTTTTAATTTCTGAGCTATAGCTCAGAAATTAAAAACCTCGAAAAGGCTTCAAGAGAAGTTTATTATTTTATAGAAAAATTTAAAAAGAGAAATTGTATTTATTTATCACTTGTTTATTATTTATTTTAATGTTAAAATAAAAAATTTTATTTCGCATTTAGAGTTAAATTTAAATTGTTCGTGACTTTCTTTAACAAAATTTGTCTATAAAATTAGCGAGATACGCAAAAACTACAGGACTTTTTGTATCGAGTTTAAACGACAACGAAACGAAATAGAGCAACAAAAATATTATAGACTTATTCAAAAATGTTTTCAAATAAATTTCAAATAAATTTATTTTATCTACTTTTTTAAGTTGGGGATTCCCCGCAAAATATGAAATAACCCTAAGAGACCGGTTTTATAAAGCAAATTGAAAAAAAAAGATTAATGGTCTCTTCACCGTATCACATATTAGTTTTATAATGATTTCTTTAAAATTTACAAGAAAATGCACTGATTTAAACTAAACTATCTCTGGAAATATATTTGATACTAAGAACTATTTTTGTATTATCTACAAAGTAGGTCATTTTTTTATCCAAACGTGTTTGTTTTCTTCTGTTATTTAAATAAGAAAATATAATATAATTCAATACTATTATTTAACACTATATATTATATAGTATATTGGGCTACTAATTGAAAAAAGAGGAGATTCCTCGAGCCTAGCGAATACTAGTATATACACTATAGTGTACTAGTAACAGCTGTTTCGCCCACCGGGTAAATTTAAGAAATAAAATGGGTGTTAAATAATAGTATTATATAATATATTGGGCGACTAATTGAAAAAAGAGGAGATTCCTCGAGCGTAGCGAATACTAGTATAGTGTACTAGTAACAGCTGTTTCGCCCACCGGGTAAATTTAAGAAATGAAATGGGTGTTAAATAATAGTATTGAATTGAACACACTGCTGTTTTAAAATTTGACATTAATTTTTAAATTTAGTCAATACTTTGTTTTGAATTTAAAAAAAAAATAATTTTGCTCCCCACCCGCCGATAAATTTTTGCTCGGCCGTACCGGCCCCATGGCTCCCCCAATATATATAATATAAATCTAATTGGTGCAATTTATTATTTACCACAGTTTATCGATAAATTTCAAATGTCTTTTAAAAATTACTTCCCATATACACAGGCTCCTGAATGAGTCATAGGTCACATAAAAGTGACGCCAAAAACTGAATGCGCTATCGGAATAAGGACCCTCTCTAGAGTTTAAAAACACGTTTTTCAAAATTGTAGGTGATCCTTTTTTTTTTAAATTTTGGAAATTAATTCAAATTTAGTGACTTATTACAGATTTTTTGAGAATTTTTTTAAAACCGAGCCCTTTAGGAAAAAAAATTAAAATAAAGAATTAAAGACGACAAAATTATCTTTTTAAATGATGCTTCAACAACCGCAACCATTGGCGTATATATGAATTTTTTTAATTACAAAATTTTTAAAAACTTGATTTTTCAAAAAAAAAGGAAAGGACAACAGAAAATGGTTTATCTATTAAAAAAACTAGTAAGCCATTACCTTTGCCAGGAAACACTTTTGCCTAGTGTTGTCATCAAGACTAACACATTCTAGACTCTTGTCTTGTCTTGTCTAGAATATCAAGACAAGACCGTCAACATATCTTGTCTAAGTATATCAAGACAAGACAAAACCTTGGCCAAAAATCTTGATTATTTTCAAGACTAGATTAAATTTAACTTTTTAAAAAATATTAAAAACACTTCATTTAATTATTATCTTTTTTTATTAAAAAGAATATATATATTTTATTATATTTAAAACAATTTTTGCCAATAACCTTATTAAGAGTTTTTTCCTTATGTTGAGTTGTCGTTGAAGTAGATTGGTGTTGAAGTACGTGAAGTTGCTGGCTTAAAATCGATTGTTGCTGTGGTGGTACTGTTGGTTGGCGAAAAAACACTTTCATCATCACTACCTGAAAAATCGTCTGGTCCAGACTCATAACTTTTATCTTCATCTATCAAATCACACGTAAAAGGATCTTCCACTTCTTCTTTGTTAAAATTATTATTATCCTTTGGCAGTTGTACTTGCGATGTTTTTTTATCTGCATTGCAAGTACAGGAAAATTTGAAACGCTTGATTCCATATTATAAAATGCTTCTTAGTATTAACCAGTAGTAAAACAACAAAACTAACCTAAATAATAATAAATTTACTGCTTAATTTAGTTCAAAAACAAAACGCAAGGGTTGTGTCTGCACGTGGCGGAAGTGATTTGTTTTGACTGATTCTAAAACAAGAGTGGGAGTTACATTGCGCAGACGCATAATTTATATCTAGACTCTTGAATAATTATCTAGACTCTTAAATAATAATCTAGACTAGTTAATCTAGACAAGACCGCATTAAGTTTTTTAATTAAGACTTAGACTTACACAACTCTTGAAAAAGTATTTTGGAAAGGACTAGTAAAACTTCTGGGAAAAAAACAGGCGTTGAGATGGCCTAAAACACTGAAATTGGTCTCTAAGATCTACCAAGGGGACATATTTGAGGAAAATATTCTGAAACATCCTGACACTCTTCTTACAAGATTTTTTGCAAACTGTTAGTCCTTT